GCTGGAGCTGATGGGAGTTGCAAGCTAAAACATCTGGAGGGCCGCAAGTTGCCCACCAATGAAGTAGGTCCTTGAAAATGTCAAACCTAATTGAATCAAATTAAACAAATTGAACAAGTAACAAAAACTTCGGACAGGAATCACTTCATTACATAGGAAACATATGAGAGCTTCAGTTACATCTTGCTTTAATACAGAGGCTATTAGTATTTGCATATCAGAAGGGATACCTTTGATCAGAGTCTTCTGTGCCAGAAACAAATGCTGCATCATGCAAAGCGTCCTGCACAGTGTTTAAAGTAGGAAAACGTCACCCTTTGAAGAAGTGATATAGACACTGGTGGATTTGCATGAGAATAGTCAGTAAATAAGAAGAGATTCATTATACAATTATGTGAAATTCCTGGACAGGTAGAATTCTGTAGAGTAATCAACATTTATTCATAGAGTTATTAAGAGAGCCAGTGTGGTATAGTGGCTAAAAGCACTGGACTGGGACTCAGGCAACCTGGGTTCAAGTCCCCGCTCAGCCATGGAGCCAAGTGGGTGACTTTGGGCCAGTCACAGACTCTCAGCCAGCCTACCTCACAGGGTCATTGTTGTGGGGATAAGAATGAGAGCAGCAGGAGGAGAATGATGTAAGGCACTTTGAGTTCTTTTCAAAAAAGAAAAAAGTGGGATATAAATCTAATAAAACAATTAGTGGATTGAATGAATGATTGATTGATACCCATTAGCATCATAAATTCTCTTCTGTGTCATTAAAGAGCCTTGTCATTAACCATGAACAGCATACCTGTGCAATGGTGCCAAGGATCTACTGTACCATAACCCAAACTCACAATCCAATAAGCATCTGTGGTTTATGTAGACAATGGGACTACAGGGTCAGGGATTTTAAAATTATACATGTGGGATTTGGTTTTTGTTCACCCAGGATAGATGAATTCCATCAGTTTGCAAGCATAAGGTAAGCAGAATGTGAAGAGATGGCTGAGTCAATACAAATTATGGAAATTAAGCCAGTTGATTAAGAAAATACTGATATTTGGTGCAGGAAATGCCAACAATGACTAGATGCCTCCCTTCTGTTCCCACAAAGCAGACAGAAGGCAAATATTAAAGGCTATGTCAGACCAGCCGTTGGCATTTCTGAAAAGCCACTTTCATTGTTGACGTAAGCTAGATCGAAGGGTGGAATAAAACAGCCTACTTTTCTTATGCTCTTGGTGGGGAGGCTAGGAAGATGCTTGTTTGCTGTCGGTGTAGTGCAGCCATCACGAGCAATGCCCTTTATCATGCGTTTGAGCACTTGCCAACAGACATGCAAAAGAACACTCTATCAGCAATGAAGATGTTCTCTTATTTTCCATGGTGAACTAAAAGTAGACAAATGTCCTCTGAGATATTGATAAGATGAAAAAATTAGGGCTGAGCTATCAAAACTGGGCCATCTCAGCCACAACTGCTGTCATCACAACCCTGCCAATGAATGTGGGTCATAAAAAGCTACAGGGTGCTACTGAAATACAGCTTTCGTTCCTTCAGCATTCTTCATTCAAAAAGACCTGGTTATAGGGAAGCACCATATGCTGGCATTTCAGTACCAGAGATGTAAGATGGAACAAGCCAAATTGGGCCATCCCTACTCTGGGCTGTGTGGCTGCATAGCAATGTATGAATTTTCTTAAATCCATTCCATCTGTGTTTTCATGGATTGTCAGATATCATTCATTCCATCAGCCACATCACTGAAGGAAAATGATTTTTTAGAACCAGAATTAGATGCACACCTTAACGTGGTAAGGGAGTTTACAAGTGTTAGAGAAGGCAAGAGCCATGCTGCCAGGGAGTCAGACTGTCTCACTGGGCTGGTCTCCTAGCAGGATCACCCGTTCTGGAATGGACAAACCAAAGACACTAGACTAAAATGCACCCACCCTCTTCAGAAGTAAGAGTCACATTAACAGAAGAGAATGGATATTTCTAATGGGGATGAGGGGAGAAATGCTCTTGAAGGGCAGCTATCAGGCAGCAGTGGTAGTTGAAGGTGTCACTGGCAGATGATTTTTTTGTCTGCAATGCTCAACAGCAGTGATGCTCAAGCTAATTCTGGGTTAGTACTGAGCAGAAGAAGGCAATGGTAAACCATTTCCAAATCTTCTTAACTTGAAAGTCCTATGATGAAACAATCCAAATGAAACAATAGATAGTGCCAGAAGAAGGGACCCCAGGTTAGAAGGCACTCATAAGCTACTGGGAAAGAGCAAAGAACATGTACAAATAGAACCGTTCCTAATGAGATAACAGGATCAAAGCCGAAAGGAAGTCTAGCAGCTGACATGCACAGAAACAAAAGGAAAGTCCAGTGCTGTATAATACATACAACTGGAACATGGAACATGGAGAGTATGAATCAAGGCAAACTGGAAACTATAAAGCAGGAAATGCAATGGCTAAACATCACAATACTTGGTGTGAGTGAGCTAAAGTAGATCAGAATGGAACATTTTCAGTCAGTAAACCATAAGTTGTTTTACTTTGGAAATGAAAAGCTCAGAAGAAATGGATTTGCTCTAATCCCAAGGCAAGATGTAGCACAGGAAGTAAGAGGCTAGAATAGAAAATCAGAATTTCTGGAAAACCTATCAACATAACCATCATTCAGGCCTATGCTCCAATGACAGATGCTGAAGAAGAAGAAACTGAAAACTTTTATGGAAGTGTTCAAAAGGAAATTGATAACACCAGAACAAGACATGCTAATAATCCTAGCGAACTGGAATGCAAAAGTTGAAAACAAAGCAGACAAATTTGTTGCCGACAAATTTGCCCTAGGGGTAAGAAACAGGCAGGAGGACAACCCATAGGATTTTGTGAATCCAACAATTTGTTTATTACAAACAGTTCTTTTCTTTGGAAGGAACATGGCACCCCGAGTAGACAGGATACCAACAGAACCATTCAAAGCTTTAGAGACTGAATCAATCCAAATTCTAACAAGAATATGTCAACACATATGGAAAACAAAAATGACCTACAGATTAGAAACATTCAATATACATGTGAAATCCAAGAAAGGAGATGCAACAGAGTGCAGCAATCATAAAACCATTGCACTAATTTACCATGTAAGTAAAGTCATGTTGAAAGTGTTACCACAAAGAATATTACCCTACATGAAGCAAGAAATGTCTGATGTTCAAACTAGATTCTGAAAAAGAAGAGGCACTAGAAATCATATTGCAAATATATACTGGCTAGTGGAGCACACCAACAAATTTCAGAAAAAGAGCAGTCTATGCTTTGTAGACTACAAAAAAGCCTTTGCCTAAGCGGTTCACAAGATGCTCTGGATAGTCCTGAAATAAATGTGTGTGACTCAGCCATGCTACTGGAGTGGCCCCACTTCCTTTCTCTCTCTCCTTCTCCCTCTGTTGTCAGCTAATGGAGTGGTTGTGGCCAGGGGTCAGTTGATGGAGCAGAAAGCCTCTAATTTTAAGAACCATTATCATATTATATAGAGAAACAAACACAGGTGACGAGGAACAACATAATTTCACATGCTTGGGTCTATAAATTGTTTATATCTGTATTTTGGTTTGATGTAGTAAGAGCCTCAGATAACTCTGGCTTCTGGTTTATATGGTCATGAAAGTCACCAAAGCATGCATGTATGTGACTCTTAGATTCTAAGATAGAATCATTTGGAAAAATGATGAAGTTAACAGGCAGAGTTTAGAGGACAAGCTCAAGAACCTGCACGTGACTTTTATCTTGGGCTGGCCCATGATGTTAAGCAGCCTGGTAACCGGGCCCTTCCATTCCATCTGCAGAAGCTGACTTGAATTAGCAGCTGTTTGTTTGTTTGTTTTACCAATAAGGGTGTGATTAATATTGGAGATGTGGTCAAAAAGTGGGTACCTATTTCCATATGTGGTGGGAATGTGAAAATATTAGGAAATGTTGGATAATGGCTTTCAAGGAAATTAGCAAGACATTGAATTCAAATTTGAACCAGATCCTGAAATTACATTGGCAATATTTTATGAAAATAAGTAGAAATGGAATATTCAAGAATTAATAAATTTAGTAACAGCAGCAAGATTAGTAATAGTAAAGAACTTGAAGAAGAAACGGGACTTCCAAACAAGTGAATGGTATAAAGAAATCT